GTATATGGGGGAAACAGAGATGCATGGTGGTAGATTTGTTGACATTCTTTACATTGTTCTCCCTCCCCTTCTCTTTTGCTCTAGCTCCCTCCATCTATCTCATTCCCCTGTGTTTGCTGAACATGTGTAGTAATTTCAAACATATTGCAACTCCAGGATATATGATGTTCTGTTTTTATGCATCTTTGTTTCTATACATCTTTATTTATGTATTATTTTTGAAATGAAGTCATACATCAAAATACCTGTATGTGTGTGCTGTTTGACTTTCAGAATATTCTGTTATGAGCATGAATTTCATTTCTAATCGTATCATGTCATACTGTTGTGTTCTTGGCCCATCTGATTGCAAAAGGAATCATATGAACAGAAGGTGATTGTTCTATTTTGTAATCTCATGCACTATTCAGCTCCTATGTCCTGACGTCAGACAAAGAATTTTTCCAATGGAGATTCAGTAAAATCATTCTCTGAGAGTTTAAGTGAATAATCTGCTTTATTCTTAATGGTAGACTGCAACTGGTTATGTGTATTTCCTACCAAGACTAAAAAGTGTACATTTTGAATGTTTTTTTCATAAGGGCGGCTTCAGGCTTGTTAAAGTCTGATGATTTTGACATTGTGTTTAAGAACAATTTTAATGCTAGTTGAAGTCTTCTATGCCAAAGGAAAAAAGTCAAGTTCTGAAAGAATACAATCTTTTTTATGGCATTATCTGCACTTGAAGAGAACCCTCTAAAATATTCTTTGTAGGAATTCTATTGTGGTTGTTACAAAATTTCATCTGTTGGTTCAACACGTTTCCAAGCAAGCACAATTAAAGGCACTGGGTAAATTGTAGTAAGGAAAACCGTGGCCTTGACCTCATTAAGCTTACGGTCTCCTGGCGGAGTGATAGACCGAAACCAGCTAAAGAAGTAGCAATTGAGAGAAGTGCCTGAGAGACAAAAGACAGAGTTCAGAGATAGAGAATGAGGAGAGGTGAACTAACTCATGGTGTGACTAGTAAAGGATTGTTGGAAGAGACAGATTTCAAGCTGAAACTCAGATGAAAAGGGTTTACCATGAAAAGAGCGTGAAGCAGAGTTTTCAAGGCAGAGATCAGCAAGTATCAAAATTCAAGGCATAAAGTAGCTTGGGCGTTTCAAGAACTGAAAGGAGACTAGTGTGGTTACGTATGTATATGTGTGTGTAAGGGAGGGATGGGGGAGGTGTCATGAGATTAGGTTAGAAAAGTAAACTGGATCCAGATGATTCAGAGCCTTATAGGCTTTGGTAAAACATGGATTTTGAAATAAGTACAATGGGAAGTCAACAACATTTTTAAGTGTAGAGAGTCGTTATCTGATTTGAATTTTTAAAATTTCACTTTGGCTGCTTTTTGGAGAAAGAAATATGTGTGAACATGTGCCCACGTGTTTGTGTTTGTGATTAAAAATGGAAGCAGTTAGACCAGTTGGAAAGCTACTGGAGCTGTCTTGTCAAAACATAATGGTAGCCTAGACCATAGTGTGGTGATGGAGATGAAGACAAGGAGACAGACTTGAAATATTTCTTGGAGGTATTATCTTCTGGATTTGCTGATTGATTTGATATTCAGATGGAAGGAGGGTCAGGAATCAAATGATCACTTTTCTTTGTCTTTTTTTTTGGTGCAACTGGGTGTATCATGGTATCACTAATATCAGGTTTTAGAGAGGATCACTTTCCAGAGGGAGATTATGTTCACTTTTAGACACCTAACACAAAACCTACTGCAAAATTGATTAATTCATCAAACATTGATTGAGCTTTACCATATGCCAGACATTATACTGTACATTAAGGATATCTGATGTACCTACAGTTATGGGATTACAGAGATGATATATTTCAGAGTGCTAGAAGGGACCACAGTTAGGCATGACCCAGTCCAGCATCCTCATTTTATTTTATTTTATTTTTTGAGTTGGAGTCTCACTCTGTCATCCCAACTGGAGTGCAGTGGCGCACTCCGGGTCACCGCAACCTCGACCTGCTGGGCTCCGGCGATCCTTCCGCTCCAACCTTCCAAGTAGCCAGAATTACAAGAACACGCTACCATGCCCAGCTAATTTTTGATTTATTGCAGAGATGAGGTCTCGCCAAGTTGACTGGGCGGGTCTCGAACCCACAGGCTCAGTCAATCCACTCGTCTTGGTCTCCCAAAGTGCTGGGATTACAGGCTGAGCCACCAAGCCTGGCCTGGCATCCTCATTTTAAAGATGAAGGGTAGAATTTGAAACATTTAAGTTCTCCAGAAATATCAAGACTTCTCTATAAAAATCATGATTATTTTAATAAAACTTGATAATTGTGACATTATTATCCCTAAGAAATATGATAAATCTGTACTCATTTTCATTTTAATGAATTGTTACAACTAGTACAATTAAAACACTTTCTGATTTTTTTGAAGTCATGAAAATATAGGTATTTACAGCCAGGAGTTCAGTGGACAACACTGTCATTGGTTTCAACCAGACAAAAAATTTGCAAGAACCAGACACCATGTTCTAATTAACACATTTTTCACTAAGGCATTAATAGCAGACAAAAGGGGAATTTACTGCTTTTTAAAAAATATTATTAATGGTAGTTTGCTAACTATCTTGGAGCATTTTAGAAGGAATTTTTTTCATACGTAATAGAAAGCTTGAATGAGGGAAAAAATACAGGGGACCAAAAGAAAGAATTTTTTGTTGTGAAATGCAGTCTTGATTTTTGTGTGTGTTGAAATGTTTGTTTAAGGTTCTATTTAATGTTATAATTTGAGATATTTGGTCAAAGAATAAGTAGGCAGTGATGAAACAGTATGTTGTGTAGATTTGAACAATTTAAATACCAAAAGACCAAAAAGATTATTTAGGGTGGTCTAAATCAGTACACTTATTATCTAAATTTTATTACAGCATTTATTGTTCATTTAGAGTGTAGTTTACTTGGCTTTTAATACTAGGTCAACTACTATGAAAGAAAAGAGATGAAAGTTCCTGCCCTAAGGGCATAACAAACTTGAAACATCAGGCATGATCTAATCTGCACACACACAGGCACATACAGGAATGTTTCCTGCAGTAAACGGTTACGATCACAGGAATGCCCTGTGGGGCAAAGGAGGTTTTAAGACCTCCTTTTGTAGAGTTGGGGGTCTATTAATCAGAAGGGCATTTCAGTATAAAAAGTGAAAAATGTGGATATTGAATGAGACAATTAATAGTCAGGTGATCTACTTGAAGCTTAAAAGTCATTTAAAGAGATAAAGATTAAAGCAAAGATGAAGATAGGTTGGAGTGCATGCCAATGAAAGGGGCAAAACTACTGACAAGACGGTTGAAATTATCAAAATAAGAAGAAACAAAGACCAAAATTCTGCTTCATCTCTGAAACTGGAATGACAGGACTGAATTCAAAGAGCTCAAGGCCCAGTAATGGAAGGTTTACCCTGAACTTTCAAGCAAGAAAAACAAATAACTAATGGCTGACAATGGGAGCTTCATGGAATGTTTAGGTGGGATTGTGTACATAGAAATTGATTGAAAAATTAGTGGTGAAAATCAAGACCTGACACAGAGCTTGTCTTCTCAAATCAGTCACAAATAATAAAATAGAGGATCTGTGCATGAATATGCCTGAACAGGAACATTCTGTGTATGTGTGTGTTTTTGGTTAACCTATGTCTTTGTATCCTCATCAAAGACAAAAGGGTAAGAGAGAACTTCTCACTTTCTGAATAAATGCTTAGAAATAAACATTAGAAAGAATTTGGAAGAAGTTTGAGGACAGGAGAATCTCTTAATCATTTACCACTTTTCCTGGCTCTTCCAGAAAGTTCACCTCCTCTGTTCTTACTGGGGCAGTTTCAGCATCTCACATGTTAATTAATATTTTTCTTATAAAGAACTCATTTTCTTGCTGTGTATGTGTTGTATGTACATCCTTGTACTCCTTCACACATAACCTAAAATATTCTCCATCATGTTAGGGACTGGGGTATACCACTTCCTCCAGAAGTTTGAGGATGGATGTAGGGGAAAGGAACTCAACTGGCCAAGCAGGTTTTTTGTTTTTTCCTCAAATTTTTCCTAAAATTTTCCTGCATTCATTCCTGACCAGCCAAAGAAACTCTCAAGGGATACTCTGGGGAAAGGAGGGTAGAAACTTCTTGAGATATGCTCACATATGTAAAACAAATGTCTTCCACTGATGCTTTAAAAATAGTCTCTTTCAACTTGAACATGTGTCAGGCTAGTGCTTGCCTGGGTAACCACAGGCCTGCTCAGGCAGGTCCCAATCAGTGCACAACAGACAGAGGCTGTTATCTTGGAGAATTCTGTATTTGTTGGTTTTGTTGTATTTTGTTTTTGAGTTGAAGTCTCACTCCGTCACCCAGGCTGGAATGCAGTCGCATGCTCACGGCTACCCCAGTGTCGACCTGTTAAGCTCTGGTAATCCTTCCACCTCAGCCTTCCAAGTAGCCGGAACTACAGGCATGCACCACCACACCCAGCTAATTTTTGACTTATTGCAGAGATGAAATCTCACCAAGTTGCCTGGACTGGTATCAAACCTGCAGGCTCAGGCAATCTACTCACCTCGGCCTCCCAAAGTGCTTGGACTACAGGTTGAGCCACCGAGCCTGTAATTTTTTTTTTTTTTTTTTATGCTTCTTAACACATCACCTCTAGATCTTTCCCATTCTTTAGTTTTACTTGGGAAAAAAGAGTTATCATCACCCAGCTGCCAAGCTCATTTAAGAAGGCAGGAAGGTACAACAAATTCTCTCCAAGTTTCCTCTGAGCAATATTGTTGTTAGGTCTGTGGTTTGCATCTAGAAATTTGGTCAGTGAGTTGATAAATATTTTTCACTCTTCCTCTCACTTTTTTCTGAAGGATAAGGGTGGTTTAAGAGGGACTTGAATATAACAGAGAGCAACTTATTACTCTTCTTTCTTTTTGTTTGCTAACTAGGGAAGTTCATCAGCCTGATCATGGAGGAGAACAATGACTCCACGGAGAACCCCCAACAAGGCCAAGGTCGGCAAAATGCCATCAAGTGTGGGTGGCTGAGGAAGCAAGGAGGCTTTGTCAAGACTTGGCATACTCGCTGGTTTGTGCTCAAGGGGGATCAGCTCTATTATTTCAAAGATGAAGATGAAACCAAGCCCTTGGTGAGTAAGAGAATATAAAAAGCATGGTGGGCCTGAGAGAGCCAAGTAGCGGGATTTGCTGGACGCTGATGGAGACCAAGGCCAACCCAATCTCCCTGGTCTCCTTTAGTTCACAGACATCTTTTCACACTTCTTCCCGTTGTTTGCTTTGATTTGGGAATGATGAACTTGCTAATTGAGTCCAACAGGCAGATTGAGCTTGTCTAATATTAATTTTAATTTTTACTAGGCTGGAAGAGAATGTCTGAGTCCCTCTGGCAAACTTACTTCATGAGAAAATTCTAATGGATGTCTGCTAGGAGGTATATTATAGCCAAAACATTTTCTTTTTCTGAGGAATAAGTTGAAAGCTTAGATGTGCAGGAAGACTGTAAGTCAACTTCGGGTAGTTTCTGAGACATCTTTGGTATCAATTCTCTGAGGCTTCCCTCCACTTAACTCACATAAAATATGGATGTGGTGCTAAACTGAGCATCACTTATATTCCAACAGCATACCTGAGATACTACTCTAGGAATAGTCTCTCTGTTTCCTTCTCATTCCTTCATGGGTCTATATTTGCTTACTTACTTATTTTCTCAGTCATAAGTCTCAAGATTGCAATGAGAGAGGAGAAAAATCTCCATCTGCATTTTTTTCATCTTTATTTTAGTTTCATAGGGTAGGCATGTGTGTTCATTACATGGGCACGTTGTGTGGTGGTGGGAACTGGGTCTCAGGTGGCCCATTCCCCAGATAGTGAACATTGTACCCCAGAGGTAATTTCTGAAGCCTAATCCTCCCTTCGTGCCCCTCCCTTACCTTATTTTTATAGCTACAATAGCTTTCTTTGCTACGATCATTACTTACCAATGGATGAAACATAAACAGAGGCAGTTTTCCCTTGATATACATCAAGAGAATAAATATATCCAAGAAGAAATCTTTCAGATTAGTTTATATAAACATCCCTATCAGTATGTTCTTGAGGCTCTTTCCTCTTGTGTTAAAGTTCAAGAACTTAATTAGGAATTTGGATCAAGGCTCTGCTTTAGTATCTTAAATTCCTGAGGCATTATCATTTCACAAGGTTCTCATTCCTCTAACTGAATTACATGGAAAATAGTAATAAATGTGCGGGCTACAAATCCCAGTCTTTTTAATTTTTTTTGAAATTGCAACTACTTTTTGAGTATTTATCAGGGTCAGACTTCAAGCTACTTTACATACATTATTTTAGAAAATACTTAAGATAGATGTGTATTATTAACCTATTTATGCGTGAAGAAACCAAGGTTTAGATATAATGCAGATTACTCAAAGTTAAACAGATGGTGGGGGCCGTAATTTGCACCACTTTAAGTCTGAGTTCATATGACTTCAATCCAAGGCTTTATGAGTAAATTAATAAGAAGGTCCCATATTGGTATCTTGACAGAGTGCATTTCTACAGCTGTTATCTCACTTGTCACTGTAAACCAGTGGGGAATATGGACATTATTTTTTCTTTTTTAGAATTTTTGTTTTCAATTTAGGTACACATGCATATTTGTTACATGGGCATATTGTATAGTGGTAGGGATTGGGCCTCGGGTGGATAGTGAACATTGTGCCTCATAGGCAGACATTATGACTACAGATGAGGAAGTTTGGGCTTAGCAATAATAAGTGACATAACCAAGATTATATAAAGATCAGAGGAAAAGTCATGGATTCTTTAGTCTCTTATCTTACCCTTTGGGGTTCTTTTCTCATTGCACCTTGTTTTATACTATCTAATAGATTAAACTGTTGTCTTGAACATAAAGTCATTTTTACCAGACTCAGATACTGAGATCAGGTTAATGTAGAAAAAAAACATACAACACGGGGGATCCAATGAGATGACTTTAATACAGAGGAGCACACTGAATAGAGGAGAATTATGAATAAGACTCCATGTTTGATCCCAGGGACTCTTATTCTGTCATGAACTATGTTGTTAACCAGAATAGGTACAAATTAAGTGGTTAATTAAGCCCCATCCAGGAGCTAACTATGGCATGAGGGGAAACAAACAGAGCAGTCAGGAGCTAAGTGAGTGGAGAATTAAAGCAGACCAAACAAATGTTGTGACTCTGGTGAGCTCAGAGCATCTTCTAGTAATGAAGGTAAGATACAGTGGGTCAAGCCTGAGGTCAATGTTTCTCAAATCTAGGAACCTGCAGATGTCAGAGAATATGTACATAAACAATTCTTCCCTAAACTGTTCAACAAGGATGTTGTCATATTCCCTGGGCTGTGTTCCTCTATATAATATCTCACAGATAGTATTCAGTACAATGTGATTATTTTGATTTAAAAAATTGGAAATATGATCAAAGAAGGCAAAATCTTCTGATTAATTGAATGAAAATCTGTCTCAAAATGAAAATTACTTTATTTCATAATATTTCTTAGATAAATAGCATTTTTATATTGGTATGTCACCATATCTGTAGACTTATAACTAATATGAACAAAATGGAGTTGTATTGACAAAAAAAATACTAATTCTTTTGTAAACCAGACATAGGACATCCCATCCCCCACAAAAATTGGATTTTTCTTTCTACATATTATTTGTTAAAGATTTGCAATTGATAAAGCAGGTAAAGTGTGTGGCAAATAGCTTTGAATTATTTTCTTTCTTTTTGAATATACTTCATGGCAGTTCAGACACTGATAATTTTAACTTTGTACTTTTAATTTTAATATTTTACACTGTTTAAGCATATTCAGACAAAACAGATTAAAATCCAATAATCTCCATATCAAAGAGTACTTACCAGTTTAAGAACATTCTATTTTGTCCTATGAGTGAACTGACTCCTTACATGAAAGTAGACTCTTTAAGTGAGTATAGATGCTAGCAGCATACCTTTGAATGAGTTAGTGCATGAGTCAGTGAAAGAGACCTACAGTGGCTCAGAGTCAGGGCCAGAACCAGGCACTCTGAGTAGTATGGACCATTCTCAACTTCATACATCAAAACTATACCTCTACTTTAAAAAATGAAGTTTAAACCACATTAAGTAAATCCTATAGTATTGCATTACAGAAAAACTTTTAAAGAATTAAATAAAGGTTTAGTCGACTCAATCTGCTTTTGTTTTTCTCTCTCTTAGCATTTCTAAAATGAGACTATAAGAACCTTGAAATGTATATCCTTCTTGTCCTAGATTAAGTTTCTCAGTTTACTTCAGTAACATTTTCATTTTTTTTTCTTAACTCAATAAAGGAAGTTAAATCAAATTTCATCACTATCCTTGTTTCAAAAAACTGTATATAAGCAAGATTATAGTTACAACAGGCTACCATCTGAATGCTGAATAGTCTACAAACACAGGTCCAGTGAGTACCAAGAAGTGAGGAATGGCTCTTTAGATGACTTGGGAAGGGCTGCACAAGGAAAGAGGTGGCCCTTATCTGGGGTTTTGAAGGTTGGCAGGAGTTTTCCAGGTAGATACATTGGGGAAAGGAATATAGAGCAGAGGAAAGACATGGAGTTATAAAATGGACATCTATTAATAGCTCTATATTTTGAGGATGGTGAAATTGGCAAGAAATTGGTTAGAGAGATAAGTGAGGCCATGATAGGAAGGAATTTGTTTGCTGCACAGAGACTGGATTCTCTGGTAAGCATTGGTTAGCTATTTCCAGAGTACCTGTGACACTCAAGCTCCACAACTATATCAATCTCTTAGAAAAAAATCACAGCAGTTGTTTCTTAATATGTTGAAACCTAAGTGAATGAATGATTTTTTTGAATTGGGTTTTTTTCCATCTGTGCCTTCAATTTTTATTTCTGTGAGAATCTCCTATATCTGATTGATGGCATTATATACCTAATTATGTGAACTTAATATTAGTTTCATGTTCTTATTCAAATTGCATCTTACTTTCTATATATTCAACATGTGCAAATCTGAGAACTTGGAAATTTTCAGTGCCACTTTTTCTGGATTTTTCTTTTTTTGAGCAAAAGACAGAAGTGCCTATAGGTACACTTCTTTCTAGTGTTGGTGGTTGATTTGTAAATAATAACTTTCCAGCCCTTAGCTAAGGTTTCTGGCAATATAAGAGGCCTACCTCAAAATATAGCTACTTCATATTTAAAATAAATCAAACTAAATATCCTTAGTGTCCTAGGATTTTTTTAAATGGGGAAAATTGTATTTCACCTAGACAATACTTTCTTCAGAAATCATTGTCTACAAATGTTTGCACCAATACAGATATAAGTTTTATTCAGAACAAATTTTTTAATATTAAGTTTATTCTGATTGTTTGTGTAAAACAGCAAGCACAGAAAGGAGATGCATGTAGCTGATTTTTAAAAATACACTAGTATATCCATAATTTTTTGTCACAGGCTGCTATTGCAAACATTTGATAGTACATTTTTTTCCCAGTTTTTAGGTAATAGTCTTTCTATTTTAGTTTTTTATCTTATAAAGTTATATTTACATAAGCAGGAAAAAGTTAAAAATCATACTGTACAGAAGAATCTATAAAAAAAGAGTACCCCCCCAACTGCACATTCCCAGGACTTTTGGATAGCTATTAAAAAAGGTTTTAAAATAGATTTGAAGGCAACCCCTTTGGGTCCCCTCCCACTGTGGGGGCTTTTCTATCCTCTCAATAAATCCTGCTTTCAAAAAATAAAAAATAAATATCTATTCTGAGAGTTCATTAATGATGATTATCATGACAAATGACTGTAGCCTCAGTATCAATATTGAAATATGGGGGAAGCAGTTAAATTAAAGATGAAATATTAATATTATAGTTAGCTTAAAAATAAAGTAATGATGTGGTTTTTGTTAAATGAATCCAGTGATAAATTCCTAATGCTTTTTTAAGGCATGTTATCACTTAAATAAAAGCTAAGTCTCAAGTTTGGCCATACTAGTGAATGCCTCTGATGAACCCTTGTGCTAGAATTTGACAGTAGAAAGCATTGATTTTTAGAAGCCATTCTAAGACTCCTGATAAAGTGA